TGCTAAAATGATTATTTCTTCAATAAAAAGGTATTTTAATTAGTGTCGAAGTGAAATTAAGAATCGGGATTCTCCAGATGTATTATTATGCACTGAGAGGGGAATCAAATGCGCATGCATAAAGACTGAGTGCTGGTGATGGTTTTGAGGTCCAGAGTTTAGATCATTCCGGATATTGGACGTTCGGATTTCGGACTTTGTACTGTACCAACTATTACTGTAAGATATGCTGTTATTCATGTAGAAGATTACGCCTCCATAATACTCTGCAAAATTCCTTTAAAATATTTTCCTTTTCTGTAGTTCCAGATCTGAATCCTGTTTTACTTCCGTTGAATACCTTAATTATTCTGTTGTAGATTTAGCATGTTTTGTTTCCTAGAACAATATTTATTATCATTATGTCACAGAATATTGTGTTTATTAATTGTCAAGCAGCATAGGTATTACTGGGTTTGTACAATCTTTGAGGGTCCTTAAAAGTCCTTAGGTTTTTTGGAACTGGTTTTTGGCCTTTAAAAGTCCTAAACTCCATCCAGACTCACAAAAGTCCTTAATTTTAATCATCTGAAATTTCCGTCTGTTTTTACAACTGCCATTTCGAATGTGAAAAAGCATTTTAGTGGAATATTTTGAGTGATTCACTGACAAATATGGTTATCTTTTGAATGGGTTCATGGGTTATAATTTGTTCCTATTTCTAATATAAATTATGCAATACTCGAGTTTCTGGCCAAGAAATAAAAAATAAGCATGTTGAAGTTATTTCATTTTTTTTTTTTTTTTTTTTTTTTTTTTTTTGCAATGAATAGCTCTTAAACAACTTTTCACTTTTGGGGATGTAAATTCTTTTATTAAACAATTCTAAATTTGGCGACTTATCACCATTTGGGCAATCTTAAGATTTATCCTTAAAGTATATTAACTGGGTTACAACCCTAGGAACTGTACACAAAGCTAGGATACTAACTGCGTCGGAGAGATAGAGCATAACTAACTTTCAAAACTTGCCAATTGTACGTACATCAGATTTTCAGGTCTGTTCTGATCAGCAGGTCTCTCTCTAGGCAAGCAACAGCGGTGACAACAGCCAGTCTTCTGTTACCAGTCATGCTGATTATGATTTTAGTTCTCATTTTAACCTGTGCCGTTTGACGTAAAATCTACCTACTATTTACTAAACCTCTAGACTGAGCAAGTACATGACAAAATGAGACATAAAGGAAAAGTCAACATAAAGCAGTTAGTAAAACATAAATAAAATATCATTAATCTTCTTTCAAATATGTCAACTATTATAAGTGTCAAATATTTAATGCTACTTGCTAAATTTTATAAAGTTGATTTTATTCTCAAATTTGTTTTATAATAATGTATATTAAATCATGTTTAATAATAATGTATCCTCCTTAGGAATCTATTTTATTCTTAGGGATGGTATTACAAAGTTAAGTTCAGGCACAGATAATATCTTTAATTGAATTTATTCAGTTCCCATATGTTGACAGGTCGGTAATTTTTTTCATTAATGGTCCTTAAAAGTACTTAATTTCCATGTGCAGAAATGTGTACAAACCCTGTTAATATAGATATATATCAAATTAAAGAAAATATATTTATCCATAATCGTATGTGGATGCAGCATTAAATAAAGAGTATTAAATAAACTTCCTAACAAATTTGAATCACAATTCTGTTCCTCTACAGTTTTGCCTTAAATTATATTAATAAATATATAGTACTATTGCATTATCTGTCTAACATTCCTCAAAGTCACCAATTGTTGGCAACAATTTTTTCGCCAACCTAACGTGTAGAAAACAGGGATTAAATGGTGGTGAACTGAAAATTACACAAATTGCAAGAAGCATTCATCGTAAAATAATGGAAATCACATAAAATAGTAAAAAAGTAACTAAATTAAAAATGCAATGAATTGCATAATAAATTACAGTAGTGCCTCGCATAAAGAACGCCTCGCACAGCGAACGCTGCACACAACGAACTTCATTTCATGATTCATACAATGAACTTCGTTTCACGCAATGAAGTCGCCCGAGCTTCCACGACACTTGCCCGCTTCCACGACTGCTTCGTCCAAGCTTCCACGACTGCTCGCCCAAGCTTCACGATTGTGCCGATGTATTGCATCCTTCCGCGCAGGCACTGCAGGCAGCTGGTAGTCACTGCGCTTACTTAAGCCGTATCGCGGCAATACCTCCTTTTAAGTTAAATCAATACTTTTTTTATCATGGCTTCTAAAAAAGCAGAAGGTGATTTCTGTTGAAATGAAACAGGAAATAATTAGAAGGAGTGAATGTGGGGTAAACAGTGTGACCTCGTCAAAGAGTTTGGCCTCATAAGCCACCATTTTCACCATTTTGACAAATAAGGATGCAATCAAATCAGCCAAATAGTCCAAATGTCCGTATTGGAAGTCCAATCAAAAGCCTGGGTGATCCAAGTTTCTTCAACGAATGGATTCTGAAACCTTGCTCCTGCCGTGAAGAAATTTTGCTGGAAAAAGAACTGACGCTCAAAGCCCTTCTGATACTGACAATGCCCTTCTCACTCAAAAAGACCTAGAGGAAATATCCAGGAAAATTATCTTTATCAGGTGCAGTATTTGCACCAAACACCACATCCATTCTTCAGCCATGGATCAGCAAGTTATTGCGAACTTTAAAAAAACTCTACACTAGAGCCCTCTTAATAAGGTGTTTGAAAAATGCGAGTTTGGTGGAGACAATCTGACTGTCCGAAAGTTTAGAGGAGGAAATTTGATGTCCTTATGCAATACGACTTATACGAAGGCCTGGGAAGAAGTGTCACAAAGGACCCTCATTTCTGCTTGGAAGATGCTTGTGCCTCATGGACCCAGGAAGAAGCAGTAGTTGATGACACAGAAGTAGTGAAGGACATCATCACAGTGGCCCAAGGTTGGAATAGAGGTAGAGAAGAGGAGTAGAGGAGCTTATTGAGGAACACGAAGAAGAGCTGACAACTGACGAGCTCCAAGCACTTCTGGTCCAGCAACAGGACAATGCTCAAAGGGAAGCGTCATCTGATAACGAGGAGCAACAATCAAACAATAACCATCCCCAACTGCTGACATCAATAACATCCTGGTAAGTGGAAGCAGTTCAGGAGTTTACCAATGCCCACTATCCGGATTCAGCTGAAGCAAACAGGATCAACGATCTTTACTCCAATACTCTTGTCCGTTATTTCTGGCAGATGTTGGAGAAAAGAGAAAAACTACTTTGGACAGGTTTTTCATGAAACCATCGTCCAAAAAGCAGAAAATGGATGAAGATGTGGAAGATTCGGTAGACTCTACTTAGTCTGTCTTAAAATTAAAAAATGTGTGTGTTTTGTTTTTTTTTTTTTTTTTTTTTGTAAAATTATGTTTTAGGTAGATGTATCTAAATAAAAATAACAAAAAATTTATCTTTTTTTATGTCCTCTTAGCATATTTTATGCTACAGAACGAATTATTTTTTTTAACATGTATTGTTATGGGAAAGCGTGTTTCACATAACGAACTTTTCGCATAACAAACTTGCTCCTGGAACGAATTAAGTTCGTTGTGTGAGGCACCACTGTACTTAATTTTCTCTTTTCCCAGTCTTCTGCCTGTGTGCACAGAGATACTAACTTAAAATATGCAGGGAATTGCAGAATTCTCAACATCTCGTAGCAACTCCCCCCCCCCAAAAAAAAAAGAAAGAAAGAAGTTTACATACTCAAAGAAAACTAGCATCACAATCATCTAAGAATAATTCATGAGCTACTTTAATGCTGCAAGATTTCTATAATAATAAAATAAATTGGAGATAGGTAAAAGGTAGCCAAATGTGTTATTTTATAGACATATTATTAATTTAACAATAATAATGAAAATCAATCCAGGAAATTTATAAGTTTTTGCTGCCAGTGGAGGCTGTTCATCTGTGTGCTTTAAAACCTTTTCAAAACAGTGTGTTTGCTTTCCGTATTGGCATTTTCTCCAATATAAGTTTGACAGTTTGATCATTTGTAAAATAAACCTCATGGAATGTTCATTCCTACACTCACTATTACTAGATAAACAGTCATATTTCTGAAAAATGCATAACATTGTTCCTCAGTAGCAGGAAATTCCACACTTACAATTCATTGCAGGGGGAGGGGAACTCCCTATGTTAATCTCAAACAGAAACCACAGACATAATCTTCAGATTTCAAAACTGTGCAATACACATTATCATAATGAGTACACAATCATTAGTGGTTTGCTAGGTAAAATATATTTTCATAAAATTTTGAGTTGGGTATGTCAGCGACATAATGTTTTGCCCATTATTCTTGTCACAGTGGAACACATAATGTGGTAGTACCAAATGCATTCCTCGTTACTGCATTTTGAAGAGTGATTTTTTTTAATTGTACAAATCAAATAGTATTGTTACTTCAGCCATCATTTAGAATTTTAATTAATTTTTTTCAGTTTTCATATTTGGCAGGTAGATTTGAAATTTAATATAATGTTAAATAGAGGCATGGAGAATTTTAGAACATATATCCAGTGGTAACATACATGTGCCATAAAATTTCTTGATCTTAAAGTTGATGGTTGAGACTGATGATATAAACTCAAATATGAGATTTTGATATTAAAATTTATTTATCACTAGAAATGTTTTTGTTGCATTAAGCGTGATGAGAAGTTTGATGTAAGTTATGTAATTTAAGTTTTCTATATGTGTAATGAAATTGGTTGCTTATGTATATCATATGTATTATCTGATTTTTCATACATTAACAAGTTACTTATTATAAAAATGTGTTGAATAGAAACTGTATCTTATAAAAGTTTCTTCTGAATGAGAGTGATTTGAAATTAAAGTTAAATCTTTTTTAGATTCTTTGCATATTGATTATTGACATTTTTTATTATCATAAAAATGATCTAATGTACCATTTGTTTTCATCTGGCTGATGTATTTTTATTCCTGTAGGCCAGGAAGTTATATGCCTGTTGACATGACTGGATGCTATGCTTTTGCTTTTTTCTCGTGGTTGACTCCATTAGTTTGGCGTACATTTCGAAGAGGATTGACTGAGAGTGATCTTTATCATTGTTCACCTTTAGACAGCTGTCAAGTTAATGGTGCCAGGTAAAATTTTTTAATTGTTCTTACTTTATATAGGTCAAAGCTAGATAAAGAACTTTCTAATATCTTGTGTCATAAAGATCAAAGGCATAAAAGAAGCTTTTATAAAGAAAATCTTTTTAAATTACTGTGTCAAAGTTTTAATATAAGGTAACTTTAATCTTTCTGTAGTTCTTTAATCTACTAGCAATAATTGAATGCACACAAGCAAGAAAACAAATCTTTCTTAGAAAGTGCATAATCGTCTCGAAAACTGAACATTAGCTTAGCAGGTTACTAATGTAATGTTTAGGAGATAATGTGAAAGCTTAAATAACAGTTTTGGAAATGAGCGAACTTAACTTATTTTGGCTTAGCATTAGGTGGGTTAATTGCATAGTATGGTGAGTGAATTGTATTAATATGTGTTTTATTGACTGCAAAGTAGAGAATTTCCTTAACACTTTCTCTGCCTCTTGTGTTTACCCATGGCCAGAAAGGAACAACCTGATATGTGACATTGTTGACTCATGAATTACTCCTATTTGTTGCTTTTTTATTGCTTGCAGTATTACATTTTGCAGCAATTCCTGTGTGGCCCTGTATTGTTTTAAGCATAATTATCAGTCTCATTTCAATATTTTATGAGTATCTTCATCCATATGGTCTGATTTTTGATTTCTATACAATAAACTATTAATTCTAACTGAACAACAAGCATCATATACGAGAACAGTTGGTAGTTATCTGAAAATGATGTATATATGCAAAATTTAATCTTTCATATGTATAGGTCACACCATAGACAAGATGACTGAAGAAATACAGTGTTGTGAAAGATTTTCTCTTGAAAAGAGCATTTCTAAAATTGTACATGTGTATGTAAAATTGTGCATTTCTCTTATCGTGGAAAATGGCAGCACTAAGAACCACCAAATTTTAGAAGTACACAGTCCTTTAGATCAATTTTATACACCTTGAGCACTGAATTTTAATTTTTTTATTTATTTCAGATTTTGTATGAATTTGTTGTTGACATTTTCATCTACAAACTTTATGAATTTAAAAGGAGAGTGTTTCCAATCAGTAAATCATGAGAGATTTATGTTTCCAGTTTTATTAGAAACTCTACAGTTTAACAGAAATTTGTTTTCACCTTGGGAAATAAAATATTTTTGTCTTTTTCATGCCAATGTGTTTCCATTATGGACATGTAAGCTGTTTAATTTTTCTTTTAAATTTAATAGCTCTGTTATTATTAACAAACTAAGCAATTTAAAAGCAATAAATGCAGTACTTCATCTCTGTTGTAATTAATTTGTTAGTTAAACCCATGAGATTACCCTAGCTGGACTCCTTAAAATCATTATATATAATTTTTTTCTTTTTATAATAACTATTTTAGGTGACTGCAGTTATGCTTTAATAACAATAATATTTAAAATGATTTTTTAATTGAACTTTAAAACTACATAACTGTCAAAATGTAATTTTTTTTATGCAATTCAAATTTTTAATTCCGTTTCTGTTGGTAATTTATTGTAATCTGTCTGAAAATAATGTTGTATTTTTTAATCATTGATAATGTTTTCCTCATATTTATCAATTTTATTTAATTTTTAGGTTTTCACAAATTTGGTCAAAAGAAATTAAAAATAAGGGATTACAAAAAGCATCACTTTCCTGTTCACTTTTTCGCTTTATGCGCACTCGTTACCTTGTGGCATGTTTTATGTACATTCTTTGTGTGGCATTTGGTTTCATCGGCCCAGTAAGTATAAGAACTTAAGTATCTTTCCGTATAGCCATTCACACACACACACACACACATATATATGTATGAATTTTAATGAGGTTCTCATTTAGGTTTTAATCCCCTTTAAGTAATAACAGCCATATTTCAAGCATAATAATACTTAAATATATTAAAGCATTTATATAGTATTTAAATATGCATGTATATTGTTATATCTACTAATGCCTCTAGTGAGACCTAATTAAGATTTTACTAGGTGTTCTTTGTCTACGTCTGAAAAGTTGTAATTGCATAAATATACTTGTTAAACTGTTTGCTAAAGTACTTATAGACAGTACCCCAGTTTTATTTATATATATAATGTTTTCTTAGAAAAAAAATAAGTCCCCCCCCCTTGTAGAATATATATTTCATGTAATCATGAAGTTAGTATTATCTACATAGATAGAACATTTTCTTTGCTATCTGATTTTGAATTTAATTTTGTTTGAAGAGAATGCTATGTATCATGCATTAACATGCTATAGCATAACACCACAAGAAGTGGTGTTTGCTTTTATCCAGTATTTGTGGAAACAATGTGAACAATAGCTTGATGCCTATTAATTATTAGTAATGAAGTTGTTTTTTCCCCCTTTTTTTTAAATTCCAATAGATATTGTTTGGTAATCATGTTCAAAATTCTGAATTTAAATGATATTGTAGATTAGTTCGAAAATTAAATCTTTTATATGTTTGCACATTATTTTAACTTTAAATTTGCTTTTTTACGTAAATACATGCTTGTTAAATTAAATATATATAAATATATATGTAAGATATAAAATATGTAAATCAAAATTATAACTTAAATTAGCTATAGTCCCTTAATTTTACATTTTAACTCTTGTATATCTCCTCTCTGTTTTAAAAATGGCAATTGCTTAATAACTTTTTCTGGACTCTGTCATTTCTAGATTAATCCATATGTAATCATATAAAATTGAATAATTTTAATAAAATTTGTACGAGTAATGTAATTGAAAAGTAAAATTGATAACAAATATTAATTTAAAATTATGGTGAATGAATGTTATAGCTAAATTAATAGTTGTATAACATATAATTGATGAATAATTGCTTGTTAAGATAAAGTATGTTGAGAGAGTACTATTTCGAAAACAGAGGCCTGTTTTTACCTCTGTACAATTGATTTTTACCCTCCTCATATAATATAAATTTTGAAGGCTCTTACCAAAAACGGTTAATTTTTCATATGTAATTTTTATATAATGGAGTGTATAACAGATATATAAAACAAGGACATTTACTTAAGCATCATTATACAACATTTTATCACAATTCATTATCCAAAAATCAAACTGGCTCCTTGAATTAAAATATCTTAGAATAAAACATTGTTTCACTGTTACCACTGAATCACAAAAAGAGTGAAAGCACACATGACTTGTTATATCTTCCCCCTCACTGATGACTTCAACCTACAGAGACGGCAACACAACTGGCTTATGTTTTATGTGTTTTCCTCTTTTAGTTAAAGATTTGATTGGACTGACATTTGTATTAAGACCATAGAGTCTAAGAGCAGAGGGGTGTACTCTTATTTGTTTGTTTGGTTTGCTGGTGCATTCTATTGCGTAAGTGGGTGGCAATTAATTTTTGCATTAGAATAATGTAGTGTCCATCACGTCTAGGCAAAATCCTGGCTGTTTTAGATTGTGATGTTTTACTTAAGGATGAAGTGTGACCCAACTTTTTTTCTGCCTCTCATTGTCAACTTACCCAGCCTCTTTGGTAGGAATTATGTCCACCACATTTATCAATGTTATGTATAAAATCACTGAAGTGTTACTTGTACTGTAATTTAAGCAGAAATCACCTCCCCATCTCCGAATGGAGCCAGGTCCACCACCTCAACCTTTTCTTTACAAGGTCCTCCACCTCAACTGTTTCCTCAGTCTCCTTCTGAATTAGAATTTTCTTCTGGACCAGGTCGCCATGGAACAGGAAAATTCTGTACAGATCCTACTTGAGTTCAGAGTTGTTGATCTATATCTAATTTTTCTTGGCACAACTTTTCTACCTCCTTTAAATGTGCCAAGTGATACTCCAGCTATATTTTGGTATTTGTTATGCTTTCTATTGTTCCTACAAATTCTAATGGAATCTCTTCCCTCAGAGACAGGTTTTTGTTACTTCCTTCAATTTGAACTCTTTACCACACCAGATTTCTTGAATAATCTCACAGTTTTTTCCAATAAATTTTCTTACCGGCATTCGAGACACTTGAACCGATTCTTCAGCATACTCCTACCTTTTTTCCTACCTGGCCAAATGTTTTAAAAGTACAACTATATTTATCCAAATCAATTCCACTGATTCAATACAGCTTCCTTGCATTCTGAATATTAGTTCCATGAGCACCAATGGCTATCCCACCAAATCCTCTTGTACTGTGAATTCTTCATAGCCCAAATTTGAGTGAAGGTGAGAATTCTCGAGCTAGCAAGCTGCTTCTTCTGTCCTATTCAATAACAAAACTTTTCACCAAAGATTCAGGAAATGCATATCACTAAGCATATGAGCTCTTTTCTTTAATCCATCACATCTTTCTATAATCTGTAGGCACTTCTTTTTGGCATTACATTTACATACAGCAGCATTTATCACATTTTAAAATTCTTTATGAGCATATTCAAGTTTAGAATACTCTTGTACATTTTCAGGTACAGGTATCTCGAAATGATGGAATGTGACCTTAGTGATAGGTTGGTTAATATTTTTTAGCTGTAACCTGTCACTAGGTATGATTTTTGTATATGTGGTCTTCCACCCCAGATATTCAGTAATATGAAAGTCACCTTTTGTCATTTTTACCAAAGCATGCCACATGCTTCTTGTTCATTAGCTTGAGAAAATTCCTCAACTTTTTTACTTTCTGTCATACTAACAGGCTTGTCATGTTTCGGATGTGCAGGTGGTAGCCCTACAGGGGGATTTGGAGATCTGCTTTCAGGTTGCTAATCATTTTCAAAAGCTACTGCTACTTCATGAACATCACTTATGTTAAGTGTTGTTATAAGTGCCATTCTCACTACATGCTTTCACAGCGAAGTCCTCCGTCTTGAAGAGTGCAGTTATTGGGCTGCACACTGTGATTCACATTCCTCATTTATATCCTTCTGGAGAAGATCATCCAGTTCTTTTTACAAATTTTCTTTTTATAAAGGGAAAGTCTATAATTAGCTACTGCTATGCGACGGTGATCTCCAGTATTAATGTATTGCTTCACAATATGAGTGGCACCTCCCCCTGGTTGAAAGATTTTGTGAATGGAGCTTAGTAAAGAATCCATTTCATCTGTTTGAGAACTTGTTAGATTTGCTCCTTCTTCAGGAAGAAGAGAGCCTATTTCAAATGTGAAGTTTTCTCTGTGTCTCCTCTTCAGTAGAATATGAGGTCAAACACAATGGTTATTGAAAATCTTCAGCAGAAAACCATTTTTACAGAAATCCATAACAATGCCTGCTTTTTGTAAAAAGTCAACTCCTAAAAGATTGATTTCCTCTTGCATGAGGTAGAAAAAAACATTGTAGTGACAATTATTTTCCCATTTAATTTGACTGGCTCTGCTGTCTGGAGAACATTAGAATTGAAAGTATGGCTATCAGCCAGTGAAATTTTACTCTGCTAAACCTCAAATTGCTGCCCAAATTTTTGAAAAAATTTAAGCAACATCTCTCTTCCTACAGATTGGCTAGCTCCAGTATCAAGATAAATGGGAAATTCAGCATCAAGAACAAAAATAAATACCTGAGGAATATTAGAAGAGGAAGTATGTAAGGTTAAAACTTCAGCCAAATTCATCAGGAGCCCCTTGTCTTGTTTATTTGGAGAAAAGTTTGGGCACTTTGCTTTTAATACTCCTTTAGTGCCACAACTAGGAGTTTTACCAAGTTTCTTACCAGGGCTTCAAATCTTTTGCTTGTGTTTACACTTCTTTGACCTACAGCAAAGCAATGCCTGTTTAGAGAATGACCTTCTGACTTAAAATGTATCTGAGCTCTCCCTCGATCTTCCAGAAATGAATTCCCTTATGTTATCATTGGCATCACTCTTTCCTGCTAAAGTATTAGAGAAAATTAGTTGTTGCCATTTATCCAAAGTGTTCTGTGCAATCAACAACACTGTGTGTTTTCATTTGGAAAAAATCATTACATTTTTTAGCTGATCAAAACTTGTAATTTTCTGTTCAATCATCTTTCATAGTCTATCCAAAGTTGAAAGTAAAACTCCTTAGAAAGTTTCCTCAGAAAGAGCTACTAGTATTCTTATTAGTTTTTGAGAACAACCCTTGGTTCCCTAGCAATGAACTTAAATCCTCTGATGATAAAGTCCCGAGGAGATGAGTAAAGCTTTGTTCTACCTTGAATAGTTTCATTTGTCTCTTGAATAGGACTGGAAATATATTGACATCATCTTCTTCAGGCTTGAAACATGGCAAAATCTTCTGACAGTTAAGTTTAGGTGCAAGGCTTTGGACAATAACAGACTCTCATTTCTTTTGAATTTCTAGGGTCAAACTTAACTTTTCCAGTTCATATTCCTGATTTTTTTCATTCTTCCTCCTTATCAATGCTCATCTTCAGTATGACTTGACATTATGTTCTTGAGATAATTTTTCACATCTTTCTTAAATTCATTCAAATTAACTATTAACTTTTATAACTCAAGTATTTTAACTTCACTATTTAGCATTAGTCCAAGTTCTGAGGCCAGGATTACAAGATCAGATTTTGTCACTTTCCCAAGAAATGACATATTGGGATGCTTTACACAATAGTCTAAGCTAAGACGTATTTTTCCATTAGGCATCATGTGTAACAAGTATACAAAACAAAAACATTTATTTAAATATCATCATAAGTGTGGTTTTATTTTTTTATACATAATGGTATATTTAGGGCAGTTCACAAAGGCCAGGAACCTTATATAAGGAATTGAAACCTTTTCAAGTAATTGCCAAGCACCTCTTTTAACCAATCATTGGTGAATTTTAATCAGCCAGTTAAAGTGGATGTGCCTAATTAGATGAATATGTTTGTATTTGAAGAAAGCTGTGGGGTCTTCTAATTTTGTGTAAAATAAGAGAACTAAAAATCTAATAATAATGATAAAAATTATAATTGCAGTAATGTTATTACAAATAATGTTAAAAGGCAAGTGTAAATATGAAAATTAGTTATAAAACTTTAAGATTTGTTATATTAATTAAATATAATGGGTATATAAAATTTTTATGATTGTGATATTCTTTGCAAAATTTCTGAAAAACCATCCTTAAAGAATCATCATCATGTTGATTTTCCAAAAACAGCTTTTTAGAATTGGATGTCGCAGCACGCAATGAACTGGAAGTTGATCTGTCAGCACTATTCTTATCTTCTGAGCAGATGTTTTTATTTTATTTGGCTTATAATTCCTAACTAAATGTAGTATTTCATATTGATGTACTCCATCTTTGATATCATTTAAATCAAATTCCTTGTCATAAATATCACGAATATACATCAAATAGTTTTCTGGTTGCAATTTTCTAATTTCGACTATGCGTAATGCATGCTTTACGCATGCACGCGTTGAAAGAAATGTTTAATAAAGTAAACGAATTTTAATTTTATAATTTCTGCATGCCATCTTACCATATTAAACTGATGATCTATAATCCGGAAAAACCGATAATCGGGAATCGCCGAAGTCCTGACGAGTCCGGATTAAAGACTTTTGACTGTATGTATTATATAAAGGCAAATGGTGATAAGCTGTTGCTAGTTATTTCTCCATTTTGCTGATCTGTGGATGCATTCTGTTGTTTACAATCACATTGAAACTGATTTTGAAATGGGGGGAATAAACCTTTCCCAGCCATTTAGTCCTAAAAGAGAGAGAGAGCATTGAGAAGAACAGGAAAAAATAAATAAATAAATAAAAGTCACCTTTTTTGAAGAATTCAGAAAATAGGATTGCCAGATGCTTGTAAGAATGATATGTGTAGTTCTTGGTGAAGTATTGTTGGATGCCAGATAACTAACAAACATGAAATAAATATTATACGGAGGAGGAAGCTGAAAAACCATATGGCACAGACAGGATTTTTATAATAAGCTGGTATGCATTTGTTTTTTTATAACTAGCTGGTATGCATTTGTTAGGTTGTTACATGTTATAAATTAGGCAAAAATGGCAAACATAGCTTGGCATAGGTTTTGAATAATGCTTCAAGGCAGTCACATGTTGGACCTTTTTTTTTAGGAGCAAAAATCTTTTTGATCCTAAAAATTGCCCTGAAAATGTCTGATTGCTCTCAGAGATCAAAATCTGCAGTAAACTAAGATTACTTTTTTGCCTAATTTTATATTGACATATTTCTTTATTTCGACATATATTTTTTTGTTATGTGTTATCTCTTTACCAAATCCATTTCTAGTTCTGAAATAACCTGATAAATATCAGCAACTGAAAAGTAAAAAATAAATAAACTTTCAATGCTTTGAATATATCAGTAAATTTTCACGCATTTTGAATGTCGGTAAATTAAATGAGTATATATTTTTTGGAAAAATTTAGCTTATTCACTTTTTAAACTGCATTCATGTGACTTGTTTTATCGGGATAGCAAATAAGACTCTGCGGTTTTTTGTCAAAAATTGGGCATTTATTGTGAAAGAATAGTATGGTATGTTTTATTGAAAGTATTGTCCATTGCTAGCTACTACTTTTTCCCTTCTCTCTGGAAGTATATGGGCACTGCATTGGAAGAACACTTCATATTTTGAAGCATTCTACAAATCAACCCAATTTTTGGTATCTTCGTATAATGTGAAGTGCTGCTGAGATAGGCCATATGTCATCAATCAAAACAAGTAATAATCAGAAGACCAACATCTGGTAAATACAGCATGAGGGGAAATCTTCTTATTTGAATATTTCCGAGTAGATTTTGATTGGTGCAGTAACATGTGGGTGAGCATTATCATGCAAGGGAATAATTTTGTCATGTCTCGGGTTGTAGTGGGAGAATTTTCTTTGAGTCTTTGGCTCACTCTCGTCAGTTATGTTTGGTAGAGAAGCCTAGTAATGGTTTCATTCAATTTGAGCAACTCATAATACATGATACCAAGTTGATTCCACTATATAATATACACAACATGATAGTTTTCCATGAATATTTGGCCTGGCTATTGATGTTGAAACATGGCCAAGTGGACCCATGATTTCTTCTTCTTTGGGTATAGTAGTGGATCCATTTGTTTATCATCACTGACTATGCAATGTAAAAAACCTTTTCATTTCTATCTGGTAAGCAGCTTTTCATGTGTAAAAATTTGACATTTGGTGTTTCTTGGCTTCAGTATGGAACCCAATTTCTTTGCTTTTATATCATTTCCAATGATTTTAAACAATGTGAAATTACTTGTTGAGTCACTTCTAATGTAAGTGCAAGTTGTATTTGCGTTTCACACAAATCTTCATCCAATAATGCTTCCAATACTGTGTCTTCGTATACTTGCATACTTCTGCTACATTCTTTCTGTGGGAGGTCAAATTCACCGTTCTTAAATGTTTGAAACCACTCGCATTTCTCTCACTTAAGGCAGCCTCACCATATGCTGCTTGCTACAAGCAGTTAATACACCTCAGCTGCAGATTTCTTCAAATTAAAGAAGTAAATCAAAAGTTCTTACAAATGATGCTCATTCAGCTTAAAACTCAACATTTTAGCACAAAATAATATATGATGGTGATACATATTTTACATCATAAGATTTTAACCATGACTTACTGATGGTGCCATTTTTTTTTTTCAAGTGCAGAGACTTATTTGTACTCACAATAGTATAAGCAACCATCATTCTTTTTTAAAAATGAATAAAATTTATTTTTTCTTTTTCAGACTGTATTCATGAGACTTCTCTTGGAATATATTCAAAAACCAACTGATGAAGAATTAATTGGTATCACTTGGATGATTTGTCTTATCTTCTCTGAAGCAATACGCATTACATTTTTTTCTCTCTTGTGGGCCATAAATATTCGAACTGCAATCAGAGCTTCATCAGCCATCTCAGCTTTATTGTATAAGAAAATCACAAGTTTACGTTCCATTTCTCATTCTTCATCTGGTGAGGTTAGTTACTAGATCGTTATTAATTTTTTTATTACTCCCTTTTTTAAAGTAAAGGAAGTTTTATAATCATGAAAAATTTTGGGTATCATATTTCAATGAAAATACCTATTTTTATTACTCTTGATTCCATTTTAATGATTTATCTGCATGACATTCATTCAACATATGCATTAAATCACACTGCATATTTGCATGTACATTCAGATAGAATAAGTCACTTTTTCCCCCATAACAGATTGTAAAATGAATTTAAAATGGATTTCTTAGTGATGTCCATATGTATATATATGTATCTCGATTAGCTGTAGCTCAACGATTAGCTGTAGAATGTTTAAATTTTGTGTATAGGACATTATAACATCTAATTGTGCACTTTCCTTTTTTGTTGCAATTGGCCACACCAAACATATATATATATAGAGAGAGAGAGACACACACACTCTAACCACTCAGGATGAGCTCTGTGTTTTTATTCTTATATGTTGGTAAGTTGTGTATTTTTTGCTTTAAAAGTGATTGAGGTGTGTTATTCTTATGTTTCTCTTAAGGTTTTTATGCCTTTAGTTAATGTGCAGGTAATAGTTGTAGAATTATCAACAATTTAAAAGTGACCTAATATGCTGATGTTTGTTTGCATTTGAAACTCTTAGTAGTGTAACGAATTAAGTTGGTTGGTTCACTTACTTAAATGTCGTTTTCCTCAGTGAAAACAAAAGTTAACTTTCAAGTTTTGTGCACCTAAAATTTTATTTTTGCCCATTGGCCATATTGTTCGTTTTTATGTAGAAACTCTAATGTTATGAAACATTTTTTAAAACTGTTTTAACTGTATTTGATGTTTTAAGTTTTTCTGTATTTTACAATTTTTAATCAAGATGTTTTGATTTTTTATGTACGAGAGAAAGTATTATCACATAAAACGAAGCAACTTAAACAACTTACATTGAAAGAAATGTTTAATAAAGTAAACAAATAAATATTAAGCCTTTTTTTTTTGTAAATTTTAATACCCTTTAGATCATAATTGTTCTTTATTTCATAAATTATGGTTTCGTATTTTTAATTTTAGAATTTCTGCATGCCATTTTACGAGATTTAAACTGATGATCTATAATCCGGAAAAATCGATAATCCGGAATCACCAAAGTACCGACGAGTCCAGATTAACGACTTTTGACTGTAGTGGGTTTTAAATTTAATGGATTTTTATCTAATTTTGCTCTTTCTTGCTGCTACATTTCTGTCATGTTCGGTCATGAATTATTTCATTAATGAATTTTACCTCATTATGTTGTCTTAATTTTAGACTTTTCTTTTTTTCCCTTTTGATGTTGATGTATGTATATTTTGTACTTGATATGTGTAGCATATTTTTTCCCCAAGATAATTTACTTCCATAAACTTGGATATATTCATTGTATATCATTAAGTTGAATTTATGGCATACAGGATGTTTGTTTGCTATACTTTGGTCAGATTTCTTCTGTAGTGTTCAGATTATTCTGTTTTAAAGAAAAATTTTTCCTCTGTACTTACTTATATTTTACTCATTTAAAATCCATGAATTTTTCAAGAATGTTATTTATCATGTTTTAAATTTTTACAAAACAAGACATTTTTGCTTTTCTGCCTCTTGAAAAATGAAATAAAATTTTCAAAGAGCTTTAAAATCCTCATTTGAGGATTTGTTTTTCTCTATGAGTATGCATTGAATGGGATACATATTTCATTTTAATAAAAGATACTTTTGAAACCCTGTGAATTTTTAATTACATTTTCTTTTATGATAATATTCTTGTCCAGAACAGTGGTCTTCAAACTGTATTCTGCAGAACCTGGAGTTCTGCAAATCAAAATTCAAGAGAATTTTTTAATAGTATGTAGACTATTAAAATTTAACATCTAAAATAATTCATTAATTGTTTTTCTTTCTGTTGCTGTTGCGTAAAGTAATATAAATTAAACAGTTTTTATGCATATAATTTCCTAAAGTAGATTATAAAATGAATTTTTGCATGACATCTATGCATATGTATGTCTGTATCTCAGATAACTCAAAAATGATTAGCCATTGCATGTTAAAATTTGGTATGTGCGAGTGCTGTAACATTTTGTATGTGCTGTAACATGTAGTTGTGCATCTCTTTTTTTTATAATTGCAATCGGCAGTGTGAAAAGTATATATATACACACACAAACACACATATCCATCATCTTACATGGTGTTTATTTGCACAATCGTTGGCTGAAGCCATATACTTCAAATAACAGAAGTGTTTTAAATGATAAAAATATTAACATTTTAGTAATATTTAATTAAAAAAATAAATTTTGGGCGAATAACAAACATCTAGCTTTTAATGCAGTCTCCTGGTTTGTGTACTTACGTTTCAGAAAGTTTTATACTTGTTACAAAAAAATAAAAATACTAAAAGTTTGACCTCCTATGTGACTAAAATTAACTTGGATATTTAATTTTAAAATTTGCAATATTTTATATCATTTTCAACTTGCCTTTGGTTATTTAAGTTAGAATAATTTGAGAAAATAAGTTTAAATGAAGTACAGCAAAAAATGTGTGCAATTAAATAGCCATATAAGGAAGTCATAGTGTCCACATCAGATTTTTTTAAAAATTTACTTTACTAAAGATTGTGGGACTATGATAAAAATGGTAAAAAAATCCTTTTATTAATTTTCTGAACTGAAAGTGTGAAGTCCATTGATCTAGAATGTTTAAAATGTAAAATGTTTCAAAAACAATTTTTTTTAGCTTCCATAATAATATTCTGTTGATTATTTTTAGCTTGTCAACTTATTTTCAAATGACTGCAGAAAAGTTTTTACGATGGTATATAATTTCCCATTAATCATTGATGGCCCACTTGTCATTATTGGAGCTATAATTTTTACTTGGTGGCTGTTGGGACCCTTTTGTTTTGGGAGTGGCTGTATTTTTATTGACTTATGCTCTTCAGGTAAGTTTCTGTGCTCTTTTTCTTAACATAATTAACATGTTACTTTGACAAATATTATAACATAATTTATAACTGTTCATAAATTTAAGTATGCATAGCAAAATTATATCTTAATGGACTACGTGAATTTCAGATTTTATATTTGCTTGTTAAAAATTTTAATAAATTCTCAGCAACTACTATAATTGTTAGAAAACTCAACAAAATGTACTTTTCCCATTTTATTTCTTCAGCTTTCAATACATGCAGATACACAAATACCCATTTCATATGAAAGATTTGAGATATAATTATTTGTTTCTAGGGGTACCTTACCCACATGAAACTAAATAATTGAGAACAAAAATTGACTTTTTAAACTTAATTTCTATAGGAGAGGCTCAACCCATGAAATAGATTCATCATTACCATTGTATTTCAAGAAAATAAAGAAGCAACTTCATTAAAAAAATGTTCCAAAATTAATAAGGGAGGGAGAATATGAGAATTAGATTGGCAAGAAAGCAGTTTTGATTTTCACAAATAGAGAATATTATGTTCGTTTTGTTATTCTTGTGTCAATCTTATATTTTTTTTATCTTTTGAGATCTGGCAGCTGACACTTTTAAGTTGCTATTGAGACAAATTCTGTGTATTTTTGTTTACAACTGTTAATTTACACTCAGTTTTTAACATGGGGTGCAAAAATTAACATTTTTGACATATTTTTACTTTTTTATTTTCATAAAGGCAAGAAAATAGCTGCAGATCACTAAGAGATAAGAAAAGGTAATGGTATTTACTTAAAATAATGCATATGTCAGAATTGGTTTAAAAAGTTTCATTCTGGAGATTTTTCACTTGAAGATGACCAGTGTTCAGGCCGTCCTTCAGAAATTGATGATGACAGAATTAAAGCCATAATTGAATCAGATCATCTCATAATTGTGTGAGAGATTGCAAAAAGATTTTTATGTATCATACACAACAATTGAAAATTATGTAAGATGTCTTGGACTTATTAAGAAACAATTTATTAAGAAATATTTGGGTTCTGCATGGATTGAATGAGTCAATATTTATGATAACATAATGTAATCGACCCTTACTCGAAATGAATTATCACTGATGATGAAAAATAGATCGTCTACAATAACATTAATTGAAAAAAGATCAAAATCGGTACTTTTTCATTTTGCCAGCGCAGGCGATAAAGTCGCCAATAATGTTACAACTGGAGCCAAACGGAATATCCTTCCTGGTAACCTTTTACTCCTCATTTTCAAAACAAGTGTTAGCAATTAATTAATTCCTTTATTCAAAACATTTTCGTCAAACATTACCATTCAAACATTAATTGTTAGATACTTGCTTTATTCCGAAACATTACCATCAACATTACTGCTCAAAATCATTACCGTTCTAAAAAAAATGTTGTTGCCAATCGGGAAAATACATTTTAAGTAAAATTAATACTACGTTGCATTTACATTCGGGCATCCTGACTTAGTTACGACCTCAGAACATTAAGAACTTATACTTAAAAAATTAAATCTGTAATATTAATGTTTATAGTTCGAAAGTCTTTAACTGTCATATGGATTCACTGTCGTTTTCTATTTTTTTCCCCAAGTCCTAGTTTTAGTAATATGCGGCATGTTGTTATCGTTATCCCCATTAACACTAATGTCATCACTATCATCATTGTCTTCTTCTGATTCCTTGACACTGCCATGACTTTAATTGGCTTACATGAGCTGTTGTACTAAAGAAATATCCTTTCACCTTCTCTTCTAATTGAGTCACTCTATAGGTATCACTTGGTAAAACTTCTGTAACTACCAAAGGTCCTCGATACTTTTGTTGTGTTTTGGTTGATTCTCCAGTTGATTTAGGTACTCTTCTCATAAGTATAAGTACTATTTCTCCTTGTTTGAATGTTAAGCCCTTTGCGCCGGGTAGTGCAAACGGGTGCTTATCGCGGAGGCCGGCAGTGTCTTATGTGAGCGTCTGTCCAGGGCCGGGGGCTTTTTTGCTACTAAGCCTAAATCCATGAAATTTCCAAAGTATCAAGGCATTGTTTAAAAATGCTCTATAGAGTATTTAAACGGCTTTGCTTTATAGATATTTTATACTATATACTTTAATTGCCTTTTCTTGTTTAAATGCATATTTTACACATTTTATTTCCATTACTCACCATTTTATGACTTTTAACATTATACATCTGAAAACTAATATATATTACTTAAAATTCTTCTTTTCGTATGAAAAATTTGAAAACAGGGATCTACACACAGTCCTACGTTACATTCCTTGCACTGGTAATAACTCATTTGCCGTTTTGGAGGATTTTTCCGGGAATGTGAACAAACGAAGCATCGTCGCCTCATTTTCTTATCAGTCTCTTCTGAACAAAGTTTTGGAAAATGTCTTTCAGTTAATCTTTCAGAATCAATATCAGAATTTCAGAATCAATATCTGAAATATTTTGCATCATTTCTGCTATTTCATGCTCTGTTAAACATTTTCGACGCTTCGACGTTGCAACGGTAAAAACAGAAAGAATTCACGTCTAACAAGATCTAATTATTTTCTAAAAACTGAACTGCAAACCGAAATACCCAACGCTTTAGCGCAAATAAAACTTCTCTACTTACAATAAACAACTACCACGTGCGAATAAAGTGCGATTTAAAGAGACGTCATAAATCACGCCATTCGGAAACCTTTATTTCCCCGTTTATTTATATAATCAAAAACACGTGTATGTGAGTCGTGCTTCTCTCATTTCGAGTAGAAGGTTTAATGTACATGTATCTGAAACCATATGGACATACAGTGCCATCTTGTGGCAGAAATTATAGTTTTAAAAACGTTTTAGGAGACTGGTACAAATACGTGACAGTCGGCGCTCAGTGGGAAAATGCTCTGGCTTGCCTGCATGTTGGCTGGGAGGTGAGTGTGTTCATTGCTGGCACGTAGACGTGACAGTCGTCGCGAAAGGGTTGCTTTTTTTCTTGTCATAATTTGCTTTCATTTTCTTTTGCATATCTTCAATTCTCTTTCTAGTTTCATTCTGTAAGATTACTGAATTCTCCCTTTCAATTGCGTCTTCATCTGTAATCATCCTCATCTTATTTATCATATTGTTTAGATTTCTTTCGCATTCCTTAATCTTTTTGTCCCAGTCTCTCTGATTCAGATTTTCCATACTCGTTTTAATCGTAGCCAAAATTGTTCGATTTGCTCTTTCCACCATTCCATTACCACTTGGATGTTGAGTTGAATTGAGTGTATGACTGATTCCATTATTTTGAGGGTACTCTGAAATTCCTTCGCTGTAAAACATGTTCCTCTATTGCTGATAATTTTTTCTGGTAACCAAAAATTATCTACAAAACTCTTCAATGCAACTAACACATACTTGGTTGCAGTACTTTTCATAGGATATAACTGTGTAAATCTTGTAAAATTATCAATTATTACAAATAGTTCTGTATTTCCTCTTGAACTTTTTACGAATGGTCCTGAATGATCTATATGTATAATTGCAAAAGGTCTTCTACCAGTCTAATTGGATGCAGTACTCTTGTTTCTTACCACTAGCCACTTTATTTACTAGGCATTCGAAACACATCGAAATGTGACGCATAACATATTGTTTCATTCCTTTAAACCAGTATGATTCTTTGATTTTGGCAACAGTTCTATCTGCTGAAAAATGTCCCAAAAGATTGTAACATTTTACTACAATACCTTTTCTCATCGATTTAAGTATGACATAACAATTTCTCCTTTTAATGATCTCTTACCTTACGAAACAATCGATTATTCTTCAAGACGTAATTTTCAGTTACATATTTCTCTGCATTCGTTCTATCATTTATCTTTTTCTTTAAAATGTCTATTAATTTGCATAATTCTGGATCTGAATGCGGAATGATAAGAATTTGTTCATCTATCGTTAGTGTTAAACAAACTTCCAAGTTGTTTTCAATTATAGAATCTAAAGTTTCTTCTGGCTGATCAACTGGCAATCGGCTCAATGCATCTATGTGACTCATTTTTTTACCTTGTCTGTACATTATTTCAAGATTGTATTCCTGGATCAGATTACTCCACCTTGCTATCTGAGGATTTGAAGTTTTCTTCGCGTTTAAATAAACTAAAGCTTGGCGGTCTGTAATTACCATAAATCAGATTCCAATTAAAAATTTTCGAAGTCATGTCAAAGTCCAAACTATAGCCATTAATTCTAATTTGCTTGAAGGATAATTCCTTTCTGTTTCTGTTGTTCCTTTACTTGCACAATAAACTAAATGCCACTTTCTATCTTCACCTTTTTGTAACAGCATTCCTGCCAGCACTTTGCTGCTCGCATCTGTGTGCACTTCAGTCTCTGCTTCTGGATTATGTAACTCTAGTATTGGTTCATTAGTTAAATGGTCTTTTAAAGTACTGAATGCTTCTTGCTGATCTTCGTTCCAACGAAATGTTTCATCCTTCCTTGTCAGTCTCATTAGTGGCTCGGCTTTCTCTGCATATTTCGGTACAAACCTTCTAAAGAAACTTGTAAGACCAAAAAATTATATAACTTCATGTTCATTGGTTGGTTTAGGAAAGTTTAATATGGCTCGTACTTTTCTTGATCCAGGTTGCATACCATTTGATTTTATTAGAAATCCCAGATACTGAACTTCATCTTTTCCAAATTCACATTTTGTCAGTTTCAATGTCAGCATTGCTTCTCTCAATCTATCAAACACTTTTCTAAGTTTTTCCATCCTTTCCTCCCAAGATTTAGCCAGAATTAATATGTCGTCCAAATAGCACGATACTTCTTTATTAAGCAATGGATCCAACAGCTGAGAAACCCAGTTTTGTTCTTTTAACCCAGATCACTTACGTCATGCCTGTCTCTGAAATAAAACTAAATAAAAACTTATATCACCTTCATTTAAATCATACTTATGCATTAATTTACTCATATCACAAATATTACTTCTATTCTGCAATATTAACATTAGAAGGAACAGAATCATTTACATTACTACTTCTGATTTCCACTTCTATTTTCAATTTTTCAAGTTCAAAAGTTTTTTCCTTATCTCTTTCTATAATTTCCATTTTAAATGCTCTTTGCTTATCTTTTTCTAAAATTTCCATTTCAAGTATTCTTTGCTTTTCTTTTTCTAAAATTTCTAACTTTTCCCTGTCTAAACGATCATTTATAATTCTATATAGCATTTGTTTAGTAAAGTCTTCGTTATAGTTCTTACTATTCAAAATCATATCCGTTAAGCTTACAATTTTAATATCAGAAGGGACATCTACATCAAGTTCCAAAACAAGTTCTTTTAAGTCACATTTCTTGCCTCTTGCCAAATAAGCCATCATTTTCAAATAATAATACAATAATTATTATTTGAAATTAATAATTAAGTTCTTTCCGTTTAATACTTAGACATAACATAAACAGTTTATAAATTCGCGTACCTTTCTACTTTCAGTTTTGGCGAGTTTCCGCATTCAGTTTAGGCTTAATGTACATTAAGGCAATACGTTGTTAAATCCTAGATAATAATTCTAGTTAATCCCACTTCTGAAATGTTAGCAATTAATTAGTTCCTTTATTCAAAACATTTCCGTCAAACATTACCTTTCAAACATTAATTGTTAGATACTTGCTTTATTCAGAAACATTACCATCAACATTACTGCTCAAAAACATTACAGTTCAAATCATTAGCGTTCTAAAAAAATGTTGTTGCCAATCGGGAAAATACATTTTAAATAAAATTAATATGTTGCGTTTACACAAGCCGTTGCCATTTCTTATCAGATTGATTGTCTCTTTCAATACTGGCGTACAATTATATAGAATTTTACCAGATAGTTCAATTTTATGCCCCTATTCCATTTGCAGTAATTAAGTCAATTAGGATGAAACCACACGCTCTCCCAAAGGCGAAAATATACAAAAGGCAAAGTCAAGGGTTAAATTCATCAATTCTAATTGAGAATGCACTAAAGAAGTAAAGCACTGTGGTTTTACATAATTTCTGAGTAAGCTATTCGTATGAATTGAAATAATTTTTGCATTTAAACTTATATTCCAAACTAAGATTTAACTTGAAATTAATGTAAATAATTACTGAGAGAATTAGATTTTTGTAGCGTAGTTTACGTGGGATGAGATCACTTAAGGTCACGTGATATGAACCGGCGACTTAGGATGTTGAACCATGAAAGCATAGTAAATTCTTAAACTAATGTCTTTTTACAAATATATTGTCTTTATTTATTGGCTTTGTACAAAATTTTAAATGCTATTAAAATGTTTATGCCTTCAAAATAAAACATTCTTCGAACTAACATTTGTTAAAATTTTTTATGTGCATACTGTATGTAGTCGCCAATAAAGTCTGCTTGGCGAGGTTTGTGACGGCGTAATGGAAAAGTACCTCAAAATCCAAGCATGCTGAATCAGCACAAATCATATCAAAATCTAAAATTGCATCAGAAGATCATGCTGTCAATTTGGTTGTATTACAAAGGTATAGTGTATTTTGAGCTGCTTTCAGACAATCAAGTGATCAACTCAGATATTTACTGCCAACAGCTTATGAAATTAGAGGAAGCAGTCAAAGAGAAAATGCCAGAATTTGCAAATTACAAAGAAATGCTGTGCCACCATGACTGTGCGAGAATGTGCACATCTTTAGCAACGCGTATGAAGTTATCAAGTTTGGTTGGGAAGTCATGTCACATCCTCCATATATCCCTAACCTTGCACCAGTGGATTTCAAAGTTTTAAAGTTTATTAAACTTCTTAAATGATTAAAGTTTCAGTAATAACAATGAGCTCAAATTGTACTTGGTTGTTTGCTGATAAACAACAGAAGTTCTGTGATTGTGGAATCATAATGGTACCAGAAAAATGACAAAATGTCATTGAACAAAATGGAAGATGTTTGACTGATTTAAGGTAATTTTTTATGCAGTCACATTGAGCTTTATTTCACACTAAAAGCCAAAATTGCTTTTTTGACAATCCAACAATATTTCTGTTTAAAGGATTGCAGAATTAAGGTGTTATAATATTAAATTACTCTATGAAGCACTGAAATGTATTAATTATTATAAAAATTTGATGTATTTTATTTCAGTTTTAGCTTCTTATTCATAATTTTATTTATCATGTGAAAGTAGTTGATAATCGATATAATATTTATCTTAAAATTTTAATATAGCTTAGTAAAGCAATTTTATAATAAATTATCTAAATTTTTGTTCGCAGTTTATTATATCCTATGTGTCTGCTCGCTATCAGAAAAAAACAGTCAAAGCTACTGATGAAAGGGTAAGTCCATTATTTTCAACACCCTTACATTATTTCTGCATTTGCATATTGTTATATCTTGTTAGAAACAGTCATATTCTTTTAATATACTTTTGCAGGTGTCATTGATGTCTGAGTTTTTATCAAATGTGAAAATTGTAAAATTCCATGCATGGGAGAAACATCTCATGGAAAATGTTCGAGGTTTGTATTCATTATATTATCTTGTATTCATTATATTATAAATTAGATAATGCAATATCTGATAATTTTATTTGTGTATTTATGGTATAGTTAAGAAATTCTGTTATTGATAAAATATCCTACCTGTATATTGTATGCCTGTTAATATATATTCCCCTCTCCCATGTCAACCATTATTTGCTGTCTGTGTAAAATTCTAAAAAGATTTTTAGTAATTTTTTCCCCTTTTTATCTTAACATTCCAATAGATTTAATCATCCCAAGCACAGTTAAAATCCTGTAAATTTTGTTTAGCAAACCTTAGTTGCTCTAAAATTTATCCCACCCTTCTCACCTACAAAAAACATATGAGTTTCATTTCTGATTGTTTTTTACTAATCTGAAATTTTTAAATATTTTGTCTTTTTTTCCTTAAAATTTAACATTTATGACATAGTCTTTCGTCATCTTTGGCGACATCAATTCCATGTTTTATTACTTGTTAAATGAAGACACAAAATTTTGTGTTCCAAATTTATGAACATCACTTTATTACAAATATGTGATTTGTATTCTCTTGGAATTTTATTTGTTTCTAGTTTGAAATATATTTTGACCTCTAACTATATATATATAAACAATTTTGAAGCAAAGAAGAGGAATCAGCTTGCAGTCGTTGTGCCTTACGGTGAAAGCGTATAGATGAAGATAATAAAACATGAACTTGGCGAATTCAGTCTTTATTTCCATGTATATAAAATCATCTCAGATATTTATTTATCCAGTCATAATGAAATCTGATGCATTTCTATGATTCAGTCATATTGAAATATAATAAATTTCTATGATTCAGTCATAATGAAATATGATAAATTTCTATGTGCATTGGTTTTTAACACAAAATGACGCAAGCATTTTACAAAAGCAAAGCAAGGAGATATTAACAAGGTAGAAGCTAGCAGTATAATGACATAGTTATTGTGCAAAGAGTATTTATATGAAATCTGAGGTATAAGTAGAGCTAATCTGTGATTGGTTAGTACTAGTTTTAGTTGCCCTTTTCCAGTAATGTTACATAACATAGAAAAATCTTGAATTTGGGAGAACATGAATTTAGGGGGACAGCACTAAATCTAGAATGTTATTTTTGAGGTCACCAATTATTTTTTTTACAGCAGCTATCGTATTTTGTTATATCTAACATATATATATATATAACAACCTAGCTTATAATATTATATATATATGTAATAAAATACGGAATTTTATTATTACATATTTTGTTATTTCATAAGAAAAATTGAATTTAAATAAATAAATTTAATTAAAGAATTCTTTGCACCATTGCTGCAAGGAATGAAAATTTAAATTATTAAACAAATTTTAAATTTAAATTTTAACAAACACATATAAAAAAGTAAAAAAGCAAATTTAAAGCCAAAAAAAAATTTAAAATATATATATATATATATATTTAAAAAAATGTAAAACATATAAAAGATTTAAAAGATTTAATTCTCGAACTAATCTACAATATCATTTAAATTCAGAAGCATAAGCAAATCAAGTGCAAAACCAATATATGAAAATAAATTCCACGTATCAGAAAATTCTAGGGTATGACTTTATTCAATGTAACAGAATCTTGTTAGATTCCTTAAATAAGAAACTCATAATTGATAACACCCATCTGGACTTTCAGGAAAATTCTCCTAATAAAACAGTAACCAATTCAGTTTACAAAAAAGAAAAATTGCAGTTTAAATGCAGTAAGGGAGTTAGGTTTGGAGGCAACTTCCGCTTGATAAGTCTGTCTCCTGCCTGCTCAACAGTCATTCACTTATGCATTTTTAAAAAAATTGTTTGGATTACCGTAATTTCCGGAAGAAAGGCCGCACTCGAGAAAAATGGCGGGGAAAAAATTAAAATTTCACAGAAATGCCGCATCAGCATAAACGTCGCAATAGATTAAATTGCGCGTGACATCGTCGTGGGCCGTATAGATGCAAATTATTAACCTAAGTCCTGATATATTACATACCAGTTAAGAAAAATGCATGAAATGAAACCATAACTCAAAAATAAATTAAAGGTAAGAAATGTGGAAAGTATATTTAGCTTTACATATATACTTGTATTTACCCACTAAAGAAGTCCATATTTGTAATACTCAGACTATATTATAAAAAAATGTTGAAACAACAAAATGTTAACTTTGGATGAAAAAAGGAAATTTTAAATTTTACTTACAAAAGGAATTACAGCAAACTATACATCATATCAAGCCATCAAAATCTTATTCTTCATTATCTGAATTAAAAAGATTTAGTAAATCCTAAAGTTTTTAGTATTTGATCTGAATTAAGTCCAGAAAATTAAAATAAATAAATTAGTCTTTCAGATCGTCACATTCATCCTCTTGGTTTACAGTCGCTTTATCGAAGGATATAATTTCAGCTTCTTTGAACCCTACTATTATTGACGATGTTTTTACCGATTTCCATGCACTTCTTACCCACTTTGCAACTTCTTCATAAGATGCTCTACGCATTTTATCGCTTTTGGTATACGTATGCAATACTTCACTCATCCAACACTCCCACCACTTTTGGACTTCAGCTTTGAAGGATTTATTACCTGATAAATCTAACTGTTTTAAGATTTTTGTCAAATCATCAAGAATTATTGCTTCGGTCATAGACAATTTTTGACATCTGGTTTTCACTGACTCAAGTAAATGAGCACGCATGGAATCCATTATCAAAATCCCTTTTGGTTGGAAAAAAGATCCCATACGACACTGCCAAACTTTTTGTAGCCACTGATGCATGATTGTTTCGAACATCCAGCCGTTCTCGTTTGCACAAATAATTACGTCATTAGGAAAATCTCCCTTCAGAATAGTCTTTCGTTTAAAAATGATCATCGGCTTTAGCTTGTCACCGTTTGCGGCAAATGCTAACACACATGTAAATGACATTATTTCATGCCCCGTCGTAAGCACAGATACAGTTTTTTCACCAGTTTCATCAACAGTTCTGTTTGCAGGAGAGTCGAAAGCTAACAACGTTTCATCCATATTTATTATCTGCCTTTTTATCCTGCCAGTCCATTGGTAATTGTTGCCCGACTGTTGTTTTAGGCACAGAAATATTTTTTCTTTTCATAAATCTGCTACACCTTCTTTGAAATCATTTATATTCAGTCGTTTTGCTATAAATTTTGCTTGTAAGCGAATTTTTACAGTCGAAATTGCCATTCCCTTTCCTTGTTTCCCAGTGTTCAAGGTCATCCTCTAGATTCGGCTAACTTACAGTACCACTTCTTTTGGCTCGTTTCTGTTGTGGCATATTTTTAAGGAAATTCTTTTTCAGTCCTCCAACGTCGAATACATCTCTCATCAACTTCAAACTCTCGAGCTGCTGTTCGATTTCCAATTTGCTCAGCACGTGAAATTACATTAAGCTTAAAACCAGCGGTATAGCTTCTGTGCTGTAAATAATATCTATCTTATCGAAGATAAAATCTCACTGGTGCCTCCAAAATGTATGTTGTGCAGTAATGTGAGTGAACTAGATACCCGTCCTCGTTTTAAACATAAACTTATATTAAATAACTGCACAATACAAGTTTAAACAAGAAAATGACATATAAAACGTACAAACACGAGAACACAACAAAAATAGTGAAAAATAGTCAGCATTCCAGCTGCCTTGCGAATGCATTCGTCTGAGTCTGACTGTTCAACTGAATTCAATGTTCTTTGGCATAGTTCCAAAAGCGAAAGAGTCAGGTTGAGTTGTTCTGTTCCGGTGCATTGGAACATACTCCCACCCTATCAGGCATTAGTTCTGATATATGGGCAAAGGTGCTAATTTATGAATGTTTCTTTTAAAAAATAGAGCTTTTAGTTATTTTAATTATGATTTTTTTCTGCATTTTTAGTTTCCGTGTAAGTGAGTGAAGAAAAGGAATCAGTTATAAGTGTTTGACATTTGTTATTGGTTTTGCACTTATTGATGAATCTTAAACAATATGCTAAAATGCATATAATCTTAGAAAATGATGAATATTTTAAAAATAAATCACTATATAATTCATTTGATGTAGCACTATGAAATGAAAATATAGGATCATATCTTTGTTCAGCTTTAATTAGATCCTTGATTTCTTTGGAAACGAATTCCTCTTTCGGCCAGTGAGACGAATCCAAAAAAAGCCAACTTGGGCCACTAACCACAAGTTGCAATTAGGAAGACATTTGGGATCAATACCATGCGAAGCGATATCTGCCGGGTTCTCTTTGGAAGGGCCATGCCTCCAGTATTTTGTTGGAAGTACTTCGATTATTTGAGACGTCCGGTTTGCAACAAAAGTCTTCCATTTACGGGGATGTGCGCCGAAAGCCAGGAAAAGTACGACTTTGGAGTCAGTCCAAGCGTAAACATCAAACTTATATTTTTGAGAGTGTTCATGACTGCACGATATAACTTTGAAAGCAAATGAGCACTGCAAAGTTCCAATTTAAAAACAGGTACTTGTTTGATAGGTGCGACTTTTGTTTTAGAAAAACTAAGAGAGAAACCTTTATTTCATTTCCATGTATTTGTTTGCAATATATTGCAGCAGCGTAAGCAAGTGTTGAAGCGTCGCAAAAGCCGTGCAATTCAAATGTGTCAGAGGAAATAAGCGTGACACCTGTAGGAATGGTAAAATGTTCAACTGCATTGAAAGATTTCTGAAATTTAAACAAATCTTCAGCAAGACTTTGTGGAATAGGAGAATCCCAGTCCCCTTTTGTAAGCCAGAGCTTTTGATAAAAAATTTTCAATACAACAGTACATGGTGAAATTAATCCCAATAGATCGAAGATGCGTTCTGATTGGGACAAAATGTGTCTTTTTGTCAGCGGTGAGGTGAGTGCAAGTACGGGTTTGAAAATGAATGTGTCTGTTGAAGAGTTCCAAAATACTCCTAAGACTTTCGTGCTTTCCTTATCATTAGGAATTATTTCTAAATTA